CAACAAATTAAAGCAAGCTAGTCTAGAATACTGCAACTAGGACCATTGTACAATGTAAAATCTACAAAAATGTATAACTCAGATAATATGAACATAATACGATAATCCTGTCCAATGATAAGATGAATTAAATTATACCAATTATATCTGAAGGCTAACAATACAAACAGCCAGTTTATGACAAAAATAATTGCTTAAGAAGTTTATCAACAATAAATAACGATTTACTGTTTTTTGGTATATTTAAACAAGAAGAGTCGAATGTTTCTCTAGTAATTTGAGCTGCTAAAAATGCACGTTACAATAAAAGGTTGTAGGTACCCAGAATTCATATATCTAACCAAGTTCAGGAATTGTGTCATCATTTGTTGATGAGAATCATAAGAATACTTAGTTGACTCGTTAATGCAGAGGTAGAGTACTGATTTGACATGCGAAAGGTCCGGGGTTCAAATTCAGAAAGGAAGACTAATTAAAATCTGTTTTTTTTGAGTTTATTTCATTTTATAAATTAGTAAAAGTTATAATTTTATTTTAAAAATAGAATAGTTATTTTATCTTAATAGATCTAAATTAATTTTTAAAATTTATAAATGTTAGTTAGTGGTTCACTGACTCGAGTGTATTGTCGTGTTTAGAGTTCGTCTTGGCTATCAAATCTACTCTAGTTGCACTACTACTGTTTTTTCAATCGTACGACAATTTATTCCATGTACTAAACCAGTGTTGAATAATATATTCTCACTATTTATGGATGACTACAGAATTGTCTAATTTAACGTTTAAAAAACAATTCGGAATGTTTGTGATTTTGTGTGGTAGACCAGTCCGAAAGAAATTAATCAACTTCTGAAACTCCTGAAGATACGCCCATTCCAAAACTCATTAGTAGAAGAAACCATAGTCTCCTAGAAAATTTCTAAAATTTGGTGGATATGGAATTGCAATTTTTAGTGAAGGAGCCATATTCAATATAATTATGGAATGTTCAGCAACATTCACCTTTGTACATAAACAGACTCTTCTTTCGTTAGTTAATTAATAGCTAGATTTTGTAAAGATAAATTGCCAATATAAATTAGTGTGCTGATTTAGAAATAAATTACTGTTCAGTTATAAATAAATTAGTAAATATAGTTGTAAGTAAATTAGTGAATATAGTTGTAAATAAATTAAATAATAAACTGTTTAAAACAAATAAACGTTACATTATTATATAAAATAATCATATTCTACTATAAACCTAAAAAAATATTTGATCTTTATACTGGTAATCAGTTTGTTGGTTACGAACAAATAAAGGACCATCCCCCAGATCTATCGAAATTAAACTTTCTTTCTTCCAAAAGAAAATTCCGCTACGTTACAAAATCGGATAATCCGCTACAGTGCGTCCTTTTTCCAAACGCAACATATGCGGAAACCCCTGTAAAATCTCCGGCCCGTATTTATTTTAAGGAATGCGAATGTAGCGACGTGTTAACACGCGGTATCGACGGCAAATGAAAAACATCGCCTTCAGATTTCCCAACAGGCTCGTTATTAGTTGCCTTTTTATACCCCCTCTCGAAGACACACCGGGTCTTAAATCACGGCGCCCTTTAGGATCTTAAGCCTGCCCATAAAACTTGCACGACGTAAAATGGATTTTCCGCAGTTAAGAAATAACCACAATCTTCTTATATTAATAGTTTTAGCGATTAGTTTCAGTAGATTTGTAACCTTGTCAATATATGAGTTTTTTTCTAACAAGGGTGTTCCGAAAATTGGTCATAAATTATATCACATATTCTGGGGTCACCTATGTACAAAAGTGCACACAAAAAAAGTACCAGGCACCTTATTTATAGAAAAATGGCTTTCCCTCAAATTTTCTGAAACGTTCATATGTTGTAGAATTCGATGTTCTGACAAAAAGTGTCCATTGTCCCAAACTGATTCAATAACTAGTTTTCGAGGTAGTTAAACATCGGAAATGCCACTTTTTTGTAAGCATATTTCTCATAACACACCTTTTTTACTCGCGTTTGTTGTAGAATACATGAATTATAGATCATTTGACGGTAATAATTTATAAAAGGTTACTGTAGAAATTGGTTAATTAAAAGGTTGTTCAAAAATATGAAATATTTTTTTTTAAATCATTTGTTTTATGACAGCGTCAAATATGAACAATTATCATTGTAAAATAAAAATATAGTTTAAGTAATTTTTTCTTCATAATCATAATACATCATATTTTATACAACGTGATTCATAAATGTGGTTACAGAGGGCATATATTGTTTTTCGGCTTTAACGAGTCACCCTGTATAAACGATGTGTCCTGAATTTTTATTATTATATTAAATAAATGTAAGATATGTCGCTCTACGTTATACAGGGTGTTAAACCGATTGCAAAAACTTTCAAAATTTATAAAAGTAGCTTTTTGTGTATTTTAAAAGTGTCTGCGTCAACTTTATAAATTATTACATTTTTTCATTAACAAAAGATCAATATAGGACTCAGCAAAATTTTGTTGTAATACTATCATCAATTTTCCTAATATGTGTATCCAAAGTTACTATAATTAAACGATGTTTTTTAATATCTATTTTGCTTATCATCAAATCACGATACAATAATACCGGTATGTTCCTGCGCCTGGTCACATGATATGAAATCACGTGGTATCTACATAGATGAATATAAGTAACTAGAGGAATTCTATAATAAAAAAAACTGTAGCATTACTTTATTGTTAAAGGTTGTGGTTTTTATGAAGAGAAAGTAGAAAATACCATATCTAACATTATGTAATAAAATAACAAAATATTTACCAGCATATTGATCATATTGACCAGTATTATATAATTTTACATCGAATTTCAACAATTCCCAGTTTTCCACAGAATATTTATTATGAAAATGAGCTGAAACTTTTCGTCTGTAAAACTTTTCTATCCATAGAATTTTATTTAGAATGTAAAATTGTAAAATTGGGAATTTGGCAAGCCAGTCGAAATTCAGTGCCCAAGTTCTGACTGGCACATCCCGGAGAAAAGGGGAGCGACTCTCTAATTTAATTCATATCCTGTTCCGGAATGCGCCAAAACCTTTAAGGGTCATTGGGAGCCGTTGTAAATCCGCTATTTTGATTATTTTGGATATGCATATATCATATTTTGGTTAAGACTGGCTTGTTTTACCATCTATCAACGAATACGGGAACTAAAATCATCGGTAATAAGGGTAGACAATGGTATTACCGCGTATATAATTTGAAATTTCGACCTGTATTTTATTACTCAATTTTCTTCGTTATGACAACGATTTAAGAATTGGTTTCAACGTAATTGTAATTGGTTTTAAATAGACTATTTGCTTGCCTCCGTAAAAAAATAATATTTTATTTTTTTATAATTGTTTAAACTTTTATTTTAATTGTTTTTAAAGTTGCATTATTGATATTAGCGTCAGTAACTGCTTTGATTTATTTAAAAAATGTCTACTAAATCTTAGGTCTTCATCTTTTATAGTTTTCAAATTAATTTGAAACTAAAATTAAATGCAATTAAACTCCCACCTTAAAAATAAAATGTGAACTTTTAAAAGTTTATTGATTCGGAAAAAAATACAAAGTTCGTGTACCTAGGCCTAGGTACTTTTATTTTATGATCATACCATACAAACCGGGCATCATTAGTCTGGGGTCGTTTAATCAACCCCATAAAAACTGCTGTATGTATCACTTCATAATATATTTCCTTAATTTATAATGTTTATGTAACATAAATTATGTTTATAATGATATAAATACAAACTACATCTTAAAAATAAGGGTATCCACATCTACTGTTATTAGTTTTGATTTCACAATTTCACTACTTTAGTGAGGCTCTTTCCATGGCACAGCGTTTTCGTCAAATGCATTCAAACAAATGATATGAATGTGAGTCCGAGCTTAGTGATCCGTTCGAACAGGAAATGTCTTGTTTTTATACCACGTGCATATCGTAAACAAGTATTTGAAAGTAATTGTAATCAAGCCAGTTTTTAATAGTACTTATGCCCGTTTTGGCTTTTTCTTTGACTGCTTCCCAGCTTCTATCCTCAAATACAATGACAGTATCATTTGCATATGAGATTAATGCACCATTTATTTGTCATTTTAACATAGTATTGATATAAATGATAAATAAAATTGGACCAAGAACCGTTCGCTAGGCCCTCCCATTTGAACGATTTCCGGTTCGCTTAAGATATTTTTTATTCTTACCATTTGTTTTCTATTTAACAAATAGTTTTTGAAAAGATCTAATACAGTGCCCCTGGCTCCATACTGTTGTAAAGTATTAAGGAGAAATTGATAAGGCACTGTATCAAATGCCTTTGCTAAATCCAAGAACACTGCAATACATTTATCACCCTTATCCAAAGTAAGTTTGATGCGGTTAACAAGTTCAAACATTGCATCGTTAGTGCTAAACCTTATTTTAAACCCAAACTGCTTTTCACTGAGAATGTTATTTTTGTGTAGATAGTCATACAAACGTACTTTAATGCATTTTTCAAAAATTTTAGCAAATGTGTTTATAAGACTAATAGGTCTGTAATTAGCTATGTTATTTTTATTTTCGTTTTTATATATGGGTCATTCTTCAGAAAAGGTACAATTTCAAAAGGTAATTTGGATTTTCATTTTTTTAAATGTATTTTCACAAATTTTTGCAAATACGTTACAAAAACATTAATTATCAAAATAAAATGGATGGCCAAGCTTAGTTTTTATTTTTTCTCCTTTTTTTGGGAAATTAAAAATTATTTTGATAACGGTTATGACGTCTTGATAACGAAATACTGCAATAATGTAAAAATGTGTATTATTTAAATATCCTTGATACAAAAAACCTAAAATTGCAAGAATATACGTATCTATACCAAAAATAAAAAGATCAAAGAACAAAATTTCTACTTTTATTGAGCACGTACAAAAGAAAAACATTTTACAAAATATTTTATTCCAAATTTTCGATGTTTTTGATTTCAGTTTCATCGAAATAATATTGGTTTCTTCGTTCTTCGGGTGCCTTTAAAATCAAAACAATATCTTTTTTTGGAACTGGATAAATATCAGATTCATTGGGGAAAACAAATTTATTACTTTTGTTCTGTCTTCTCAGAAAGCTGATTAGTAATAATTCATCGTTTTCGGCTTCACTTAGGATTTTTCCTATGTAGTATTTCTTTCTTTTCTTCCCTAAAAACTCAACTATAACAAAGCTACCATCGGCAACATTAAATTTTTGCCCAGTTACTTCATCCATTACTTCGCCCTCATCTGAAGAGGAAGAGTACACATCAGAATAACTCAACCTGTCGCTTCTTGAAGGTCCTGCTTCATAATCATTATTCAAGTGGTTTTCAAAAATTTTTAATCCCAGATGATAATGTTCACAGTTTCCAATACACTGTAGACAGCTAAGATATCGAAAATACAATACATTCGGTTTCACATTATGCCAAAATATTTGTCTTATTTTTAATGTGCCTTTAAATGCATTTAGCTTAACCGGAACAACACGATCGAATTTGCAAATATCTGCTTCACTAATCGATAAAATATTGGTTTTTTTACAATTATTTTTTAAAACAGAAAAAAATTCGTTAAATGAAGACACATCTTTGCCATGGGCCACGCTAGCATCCGCTGTTCTTTTAACAGCTCCCCCGATTCCATCTGGAGCCCCCTTGCCATGACCACTCTCGCTGTAGTGCCATTGTATTTGTTCGACTTCCAAAGTTTTTGCAATCTGATTAGCTATTAAATAAAACATCGTTTTGTTTTTGTATTGAGTTGTAGGCCCATCACTCAGAAAATGGGCAATTTTAATTTTCCCTATCTGCGTTTTAGTCCTTGTAAATACTGGTTCTAAATGGGCACAGATTGCTGGTGGATCATGACGCAAGCTCTCTGATATTGTACAATAGTTTGTATTTATTGTCTTTTTGTTCTTGTTATGATAAACAATTACCGTATGTAAGGAAACCTGTGGTTTTGATCCCCCAAAGTGTGCAGACTGAATTTCTTCCCCATACTTGCAGTTATAATTTTCTGAGAAATCCATGTGTATCAAAATTTCATTGTCAGCAAGATTGTTTTTAACATCGTTGATAACTTTGTATTGGTGAATAATATTTCGCATGTGCAACATATATTTAGGTAGATCGTTTTTGAGTTTTGTGACTAATTCACTAGCTGAAAAAGTAACTGGTTCTTTAATTGTTTTTTGGCATATTTTTTCAGTTCCTTTGACAACAACTTTTTCTTTTTTGTTGATCCACAACTTGCAAACCACTGCTTCATCGGGTTCATAGTTATTCAAAAAAAATGTCTTGCCCTTACATAAGTCACAGGTGCGACTAAGACATGTTTCATTTGTTTCTTCACAGCAAAGCTCCTTACACAGTTGATTTGGAAATGTGCTGTCAATTATGTTTAGAACTCTTAGTTTACGTGTAATAAGAGCCATATTCTCATGATGAATACACGCGCAAGTCTCTCTTGATCTTACATTAGGTAGTAATATCCAGAAGGGCCTATATTTGCAAAAGTGGGCATAACTAATTCTCCTATATTGTGGATATGTTTGGGTGAACTTTATATGAAGATTTTTCAAAGAGTCGCTTAAAAATCTCTTTTGTCTTTTTGCTTTGTTTTTTGTTATTGTATCTTTCTTCCCTGGTAACATGCGACTGCATTCATCTCTCTCTAAGAAGTCTCGAATTGTTTTCTGCAGCCTGCCCTTTTTTATGTTTTTGTTGTTTAACGGCCTATTTGGCCTACACATTTTACGTGACCAAGTGGTTAGGACATTAAGAAACCTGTATTTCTTCATTACATTTCCAGACACTGCTTTTATAATATTTCTCTTGCCTTTCAAAAACTTTTCACGTCGTAGATTTTCTGTTATTTGCTTTTTTACCACCTCTCCAAAAAGCACTTTCTTTCTAATTTCCTCAATCATATTTTCCTTATTTTCTATTAACTCATTTACCTTGTCTGTTGGACTGTCTGGAAGAGCGCTTTTTTTTCCCCTTCTCTCTAATAATAATCTATTGCATCTTCTTTTATATGTTCCCATTTTCTTTTTTAAAGTTGCATTCTTTGCTTCTAACTTTTTTATTGTAGCGTGTAACTTTCGTCTGTTTTTCTTAGATTGCCTTTTGCCTTGAAGCAATTGTCTGCTTGGAGTTTCATGAGGAGGTTCAGGTAAATCATTAACTTGCGGGCTAGCTGGAGGGGTGATATCAACTATATTTTCTATCATTCTGAGTCTTTGGCGGTATTTTTTGGAGGAATGTCTCCAAGTTTTTCGCTTTTCTCTTTTTTCTCTATTCGTCAGATCACTTATGTTCTTTATTTTGCCTTCGTTTCTGCGTTTTTCATACCTTTCCTTCTCTTTTCTTTTGTATTCCTCGTATTTCACAGGGTCATTCCGAATACGTTCTCTCATTTTTTTCATATTCTGTTTAACTTGTTCTTTCCGTGATTCATATTTATCTTTTTTCTTCTTTATGGGAGCCATATTGAACACTAAAAATAATGAAAATAGCATTAGATAGAGAACTGTCAACTCCGTGATCAGCATAGTCAACACCGTTATCAAACTTAGATAACGGAGTTGAGATAATGGAGCTGATGGACACAAAGGTTTATTTGAGTTTAATTTTAGACAAAACTACATAAAATAATCAAAACAGGACATCTTAAATTTCATGAAGTATTACACAAAATTACTAAAAAATAATATCAATTAACTAATATATTTACCTTAAAAGATTGATCACGGTAATGATAGTACAAGCCTGTCCAAGATCGGTCTTAGTCATACAACGTTAAGTTTTGTTTACACTCGACACTACTTCACTCGATTGTGGTCAAATTCAAACTGAACGAATTTGTACAAAGTGTCTGAAACAATGCGCGTTAATTTGCACGCCTCCTGGCGGTTTCTATTGCAAATTTAAAGTTGATAACAGGATTGACGCTAGTACCCTGGGACATGAATTATTTAAAAAAAAAAAGTAAGAGAACATTTTTTTAATTTAATTGAATATCATAAAATCTAATTTTTAGACTTTGTTTAATAACTTGTCATAACTAAATTTTACATCAGCTTTTTGAAATCTAGTGAAATACTATTTTGTTTGTTTCAAGTATGAGTTGGGACAGATAACGGAGTATGACATTGGCCATAATTTGTTCCAAAAAAACGATAAAAAAATATAAAATTATTACATTTTGCTTTTCCTTCAAAAGAAAAGTGTTTTGGCCATTTAATAAATAACTAAAAAACTTATTATTTTGGAAAAATGGATTTTTTATTTACTGTTCTAATGAATTGTACCTTTTCTGAAGAATGACCCATATAGGTACAACTATTGAAATTTTAAACTGTTTAGGTATAATGCCGGTCAGAAATATTAGATTTATTATATGTGTAAGTGGGTATAAAAAAATATTATAGCTATTTTTAATCATTTTTGTTGTGATGTTATCAATTCCTGGTGAGCTACCGTTTTTTAAACTTTTGATGTGTGACGCAATTTCGTTTTCATCAACTGGTTTTAGAAAGCAAGAGTCTTTGATAGACGGATAATTTATTTTAAACTTGTCTGATGGTTTCTCAATTGTTTCTGCCAATTTACTACCAACTTCAATATAGTATTTATTACAAAAATCAACCATTTCTTTAACAGTGGTAAAATTGTCATGGGTTTTGTGATTTTTAATTTATTAGTTTTTTTATTTATAGCTTCTTTTAATCTACTATAAATTTTTTATTATTTTTTGTGTTTTCAAAAATATTGGCATAATATTTAGTTTTAGCTGCAACTATATATTTATTTAAATGATTTCTATAATTTTTATAATTATTTAAAATCTACAAGTTCTCTTTGTTTTTATTAACTAGTTTTTTAAGTTTATCTCTAACTTTAATTGAATTTGTTATACCACTAGTTATCCAGGGTTTTAGTTTTTTATGTTTTTTTATTGTAATTGTTGAGGTGGTTGTGCACCGATTTATTAAGTTAGTAACTATTTCAGATAACATATTATAAGCTTCTGCAGGGTTTTTGTTAGAAATAATTTTTGACCAATCTATAGTTGAAATTAAATTTGAAAATTTGTTATCCTCAAATTTTTTAATATGTTTGTAGGTTAATTTACTGTCTGATGTTTTCTGCTTTTATGATTTATTGAGAAATAAATAGGAAAGTGATCAGTTAAGTTATAATTTACAACAGATGCTTTGTTTATGAATTTAGTGACTGTTGACTTTTTCCTTACAAAAATATGATTCAAGGATGATGCAGATGTTGGGGTCACTCTTGTATAAATATTTATATGAGATTCAAAACCATAGGATAGTAGCATTGCTATGTAGTTATTACTGGACGCATCTGAGTAGTCTAATATATCATAATTCATATCTCCAATTATATTATTATATCGAAGCCATTTCTGATTATATCGCATAAAAATTTATCTAAATCTTCGACAAATAGTTTCTCATTTGTGGCTGGCGACCTGTAACAAGCCATAATATTAAGGCTGGTGTTATCTATATTTAATGTTAAAAGTGATATTGTTACCTGAGACTGATTAAGTTTAAAGTGGTTTATGTTAAAATTAAAAAGTATGTATAAGAAATATAATTACTTACTGTTTTTATATCAATTTATTTATTTTAGAAAGTATGGATACTGCAAAGTTGAGTTCTTTTTTGTATAGAAAGATACAACAACAAAAACACCTGAAAGAATAAAACTTTAATGGGGGATCCAGAGCCAACTTGCTACAGGAATTTTCGTACAACTTCTAGTCTATACAGCCACGGACGAACTTTCTATTTTTATTTTCATATTTCTTTATCATTGTGTACTCTAATAACAATTCGTGCAATTTTAATTCTAATAATAAAAAATATGTGGTTATAATCGTGTTTTACTTTATAATAAGATGTATTTTTTGTTTCACAAATCCAAAATTATAATTTTTCGTTTTGCTTTTAACTTAAAATATTTCAATTTTTGATCTATCACATAACATAATCAAATGGATTATATCCATCTAAGTATGTCGAGTAAGGAATAAAATGTTTAAATTATTTTAAGTGAACAAGAACGAAAAATTATAATTTTGAAGAACTTAGTACAGGTTTATTAGAAAGGCCGAGTTTGAAAAACCCGCGATCATTAACCCCTACCGCCATCTATGTAATAAATCATAAACAAATGGCAAATTATTAGTTATTTTCGTTTTTTTTTTAAACTCAACTATGTGCAACAACTACAGATGGAGATGAAAGATGAGTATAATTGTACTGTTGGGTGTGGCCCATCTATATGGACATGTCGCCGACAGGCTCCGCGAACAAAGCTATTAAAAAATTCAAATCTGCACGATAAACCGTTCCTTTGATAAGGCCGATCCTTTATTATTTGAACACCCGGTACACTGTACGATATTGGTACTCTTTAGTATAACGACCTTTTTCATTGCTAATATCAATATCCCTTAAAACGGATATTTCTGGGTCAGTACAAGATAATTCTCAGTATGTGGCATTAAATGGGGCCATAAACCGGATCATTGGGATTCAAAAATGGTAGGAATGTGGCACCTGCGGGAAATATACGGACGTAACCTTTCGGCATATTTTAGTAAAAATTCCAGGTAGCCGGTAAAAATTACAATTTCGAACAAAAATGCGGCCGCAAAATTATATCAGAGGGCCGTATAAACTAAATCTGACATTTTCATTCCTGTTAATATACAGAATGTACAAAATTATTATTATAAAATATTTTTTATGGTAGTGACTTTGTTCTTCTTGTAACTAAAACAGTAATTAGGGAAAGAAAACTCAAAGTCAATTACATACTTTTACTACACTTATACAAACGAAGACACTATTCTTATTATTATAAACGAAGACGCCTCTTATTATAAGACTGCTTGTTCATATTACACCATTTTGTTTGGACCAAAGCTGATTCCTGTGAAACAAAAAATAAAAAGAAAAAATCGGGAATCTTTGAATGTCACTTTTTTCGCTGCTATCCTCTCTTCAGGGCCGACGAGAGGGGGGTAACCGGGATAAATTCTCGGGGCCCTTGTTCAAGTGGGGGCCCGGCAGCGGCATAAGGGGGTCCCGGCATCACGACGTCTTTTATTTTTTTTAGAAGTTCGCCACAAAAGTACAAGAGAGAGAGGACCTTTTAGAGATTTCACTAAAGAAGAGGAGAAGTTTTGGCTTGATGATTTTTTTTAGAGATTTCACTAAAGAGGGCGAGAAATTTATAAAATTGTCGCGGGGCCCGACCTAGAAAATTATCCCCGGGCTCGACCTGGCTCTCTGCGGCTCTCTATTAGTATATATCTATCTGAATTAGTGTGTGGTTCAAAGCCCACTTGTACTGAAGATCTAGACTTATTGCACCCCTCACAGTTTCTACCCCATCAGGTTAATATTCTGGTTGACTTCAAGAATATGTCTGATAGGCGCTTTTTTCAGGTTCCGGTCATTGTACGCCGAGTGTCATTCCCGTTCCCATTTAAGATTCTGGCATAGTATGTGATTCGGTGTTCCAGCTTCCTCTTCACATATATTATAAAGGAAGTCGTCAGATATCTCTGAGGTGTCTTCTAAGGCCGTAGTGTCTCGTAAAGAATTCTATTATGGTCTTTAGTTCGCTTCTGCTAAGGTTTAGCGATTGATGTTGTCTGCTCTTGTATGGACCCTCTTTTTTAAATTCCTTATCTGAATATCCACACAACAATTTTTGTTTACCTTTCACTTAATATGCAATATTTTTACCACCCCAGTATCTATTGCTAATGACAAATTTTGTAAACAAAAATATTTCTAACTTAATAGCTTTGCCCTCCAAAAACTTCCGTATCAAATTCCCAATTAGATAATCACATATAATAATGTTAATTTTCAAAAAGAAAAACATTGTGAATATCAAATTACATATTTTATGCTTTTCAACTCTTCATGTTTCCATTGCTCGAAATGTTGGCTTGCTAACACTTGAAAATTTAACATAACAATTTTAAAACTATGATTATTACTCTTTTACCTCTCATAACTATTAAACTATTACCTTCATAATTATTTATTCATACATTTCACATCATACTCATAAATAAATTCATATATGCTTTACATTTCATTTTTAAATTACTCGTCCAAATGTTTTTACATGTGCAGGCTTAAGGGTAGATGATCCAAATAAACCAAATAATATTTTATATAGATAGACTTAACCTCTTAACGTCCGCTTTTTTTTTAAATTAGGATAAAAAATTAATATTGTGAAAAAGTAGCTTTATATAAGGACATGAACATATGTTTGTATTTTAAAATTTATTTTTTCTATTATTAAAAAAAAAACAGTCAGTGTTCCTATTATGGAACAAAGGTCGATGACAGTCAAACATGGCAAAGCAGTTTCTCTTCTTACTGATGCATAAGTAAATGTTGCATTTCATGCAATAAAAATAAGTTTTAAGACCGCAGTTAAGCTTTTTGCATCTCTGTCTTTCTGTCTTCTCACATGGAAAATGGGAGATCTT